TATGTGGGAGAGAAGCAGTTCACCCTGTCCCCTGGGGGAGCCATCTTTTGGACCTAGGCTTTATCACTTAAAAGCAGAACTCCTGCGGAGTGCTGGCAGTCAGAATGGAAAACATGGGTGGGCTTCATGCTTTGGTATAGAAAAGAAAGCATTCACTTCATTCCCAGAGATTTGCATAAGTATACAGACTGAATTTGAGTTTCTCTTCATATGCATGTTCAGAATTTGCTGGTTTTGAAATTTGACAAGGGAGTAACTCAACTGATCTTGGACTTGACTCTAGTTAATGGTGAACTTGACCCCATTCAGGAAAGCAGCATTCATTCCAACTGCTCCTTACATCCCTCTCTTTGCTCCTGCATAGTTGGGTCCGAGTAAAATTTACAGTGCTTTCCTGTAAAAGCACTTGTACTTGAAAGAGAATTTTCTTTCAGTAGCTCAAACCACAGGAGGACTCACAAGACAGCTGTCTCCCCAGGTGAGACTTCTTAAATGGGAGTTAAGTGCATGCATTTTCAAGAAACTAAACTCCCCTCATATATAATTTAACCTAGAAAAGAAAGCAAAATTGAGAGAGTCGTATGATTCCATTGTTTGAGAACTGGTAACTTTGCCTCCCCCGTCTTGTGGAAGTTGGACATGCTTTCACTATTTGGCATATCTTTAGTGCTTGGGGTGTGGTTAAGTGTGATATTGTAATAACAGTGAGGGTTTCTCTAACCATAGTTATGGATTGTGGATTGAAATAGTAAATTATCCCGAGCCGACTGAATGGGCAATAAGACTGCCATCCAGTTCTCCTCATAAAATAAAGCCATAGATACATAAAGGGACACTGACTCACTTAACCCGAGCAGCTCTGTGCACTGCTAATTATTAACCCCGGCAAAGAGAGGGGTTCGCCCAGATTGTCGTTAAATCATTTTTAATGGCGGTAAACACTAGCCATGTGGATGAGGAGCTCTCAAGAAAGTTTTTAATCAGCCACATTTAGGAATCGCTGGCCTAATTGCCATAATTTATTAATAATAATAAATATTCTCATGGCTCTGCCCCTTAAAGATCCAGGGGTGCAATCTCTCAGCTGTGTAAGAGGAGAATACTCCTTGATGTTCATTGCTAGTGGAAGAAACTGGACATTGAGGCTAAGAAAGTCTGAGTTTCTTCTTTCTTCTTTTCTTTTTCCTTCATCTGAGTCACCAGCTTATACATGCCTTTTCATCTATCTATAGGAGCAGCATGGCTCGGGGTGGGGGTAGGGCGGGAGAACAAGCTTTCTTTGTTCATGTGAATCATTGGGGTTGAGGTTTTCTCCCTTGGGGAGTGGGTATGAGCAGAGCTTTGTCTGAAGAAGTTCATTTCCTCTGCACCAGTGTCCCTGGCGTCCTTGGGGCTCAACCTACCCTTGGCTAGGGTGAGGATGGGCAACTCCCAACTCTTTATTGAGGTGTTTTCTAGGTCCTGGGAGAGCAGGAAAGATGGCCCCTGTCTTACTCTCAATGACTCCCCAACAGCTGATGGGAAACGTTTGTTTAAATTCTGTCCCACATCTTCCCAAGGCTGCGGAGTGGGTATTAAATTATCCCCAGGTCCTCAAAGAGGAAATTCAAGTTCAGAGAGTGCAATAAGTGATTGACTCCCAAATAATTTTTAGTGGTTGCTTAGACTAAAAGGAGACTATCACACCCAAATTTGAGGCCTTTGGATCTTTCTAAATGACTAATCTCTCTAATTTAACAGAGGATGGTGGACATGGAGTGTAGATGCTAAGGAGATTTCAATGACTGATTTCATCCGAGGCTCACAGTTTGTGTGTGTGTTGAGTGTTTCTAAAATGTAACCGAACAGCACAGAATCTCCCTTTTCTCACTTATTTTCCATCCTTTTGTTCATGAATTAGTTGAGCCCTAGCCTGGATGGGTGTTTCAGTATAGAGAGGTGGAATTTTAAAGGTGTACCCAAGCCATTATTATACAGAGCAGAAGAGCTAAATAATGCTAAGGATGGAGTGATTTATCTCACAGCCTACAAAAGACAGAAATTTAGAGTGTAAATTACAAGATAACTCATGGGTAAAATTGTTGCAATATTTATACTAGTGTTTATTAAAATTTACATTCAAATAAAAAGGTGCAAAATGCAAATGAAGCCGAACAGGGTTTTTAAAAAAAATCTAAAATTGCATCTGTAAAAATCAAGAGTTTTGTGGAATAGAAGATATGAATAGTGCTCTATGTAAATTTGTCTGCAAAAGCCTGAAATATACAATGGGATTGGAAGGAATAAAGTCACTAAGTCACTGCCTGAACTTCCTTCCACTTGGCCCACTGATTCTTTCCAGTGATTCAAATCAGTTCTAAATTTCGAAGAAAGTGCTCACTATCAAAAACCCTGGAGAGGAGGTTGAGGATTCTGGACGGATGTCCAGCCTGGATCATTATTTGAAAGACTAATCTTATTTCACTGATGTTTTCAAGGTTGGAAAATTTTGTCTGAATTCATTAGAGGAGAATGATAAATCTCTAATTTGTACTTTGATAATAGTAGGGATGAGATTTTGTGCTTCATTAAGGTTAAATGAATCTCATGTAGTCCTGACTTCCAAGTATGACCTTGAGAAAAATCTTTTAACTTCTCATGGACTCAGTTTCCTCATCTGCAAAATGACGAGGTTGAACCTGATGAATGCTAAGACCGACCAGCTCCTCTCCTTCCCTCTGGTGTGGGAGCACACCCTGGCGGGCAATCAGGACCCACAAAGGTGATTAAGGCACATAACTCTTGTGCTCAGGAGCTCATGGCCTACATAAATAACTAATTATAATATGAGCTATAATTGCAACTTGCACAAATTACTGGAAGAGCACAGAGGCGGAAACAGCAAATTCCCTCTGTGTGGGGAAAACTGTGAGGAACTTCACAGTGGCCGTGACATTTCAAAGCCAAGGAGGGGGTTCTTCCAGGTGTGCAGGCTGATCAGAGGGTGGGTGGCTTGGATTGTGCTTTCCACTAGCAAGATCATGTAAATGTGGTCTGTTCGGGGAGCTGGATGTGGTCCTTCTCAAGGTAAGTGTTTCCTCTGCTCTAGTCATGGGACCTGGGCTTTTGGTGACCTGGTAGGAACTGATGTTTCAGTTGATAACTGACAAGTTTTGTTGACGATAGAGCTCTTACGTAGTTATTAAGGCGCAAATAACTTAAGTTTTAAAATTCAGTTTATAAAGGTAAGACATGTTCATTGTTAAAAATTAAAATATTACAGAATACATCCATAAGATTAAAAAAATGACCCCAGATCCCATTACATAAAGATAAGTATTTCTCTGATCATCATCACACCTCTGCCTTCATGTTGCCAGAGAGGTGCACGTGACTGGGCATATATGTTTCATGTTACTGTCTTGATTTTTTCATTCAAAAGTAATCAAAGTCTGTAAATACCCATTTTAAATGGCTGCACCACCATCCATTGTCAGGAACATTTTACTTTTGGTTTAATTACCTTTTGACGAACAAACAAGCAAGTTTCATTGTTTTGCCATTATACCTAATGCTATGATGAACTTCTTCGTAGACTTCTTTTGTACCTTCGGCTATTTCATTAGATTACATTTTTGGAGGTGGTATTGTTAGATCAAGGAATGCATATTGAACATTTCCATACATACTGTGATACTATCTTCTACAAGATTTGTACCTGTTTATAATCCTATCAGCAGGGACTGGCTCACATTGAGGTGGTGCTGGAGTGTATCTGCCTGCCAGTGCTGTCATAGTACTGAAGGAAAAAGTATGAGCAGGCAAGAATACTTTGGGGATTGTTGGGAACAATGGAAGGGCTGAGCTAAGTGCACCTAAGACAAATCAGAAATCACCTGGGTAAATACACCTATGTTCATCAAGAGATAGGTACAGCAGTATCAGTATTTCTGATTGGCAAACACTGAAAGTAACCCAAATGTTCATGAGCACTAGAAGATATAAAGTGTGATATAATCACATGGTGGAATACTATACAGTGGTGAAAATGGATGGTCAACTGGTTGACTACATGTTATAGCATGGACAATGTCCCTGACCTGCTGGGCAACAAGGCAGACAGAAAAAAGTCATATCAGTCCACTTACATAAAGTTCAGAAATAAGGAAAACCAAATGTAAGGTGTTACAAGTCATGTTAGAAGCTACTCTTTGTGAGATGTTAGTTAGTGACTGCTTGTTTATGTTTTTGCTCATTGTATATTTTCCACAAATAGATGTAGTGCTTGGCATACAGGCAACTGTATGGCCTCACACATACTTGTTGAAAACATTTTTTCACCTTTTAACAGATTTTGATCTAGGATTTAATATGAAGACATGGTATCATTAGTTGTGAGCTGTAATGTAGAACATTCACACCAATGTTTCATTTGTCTATTTCAGTATGGAACCACCTTGTTTGTCCTCTCTCTGTGTGTTGTTGCTTTTGTTATTTTAAGCTAGTCTAGCAGGTTAGTAGTGGCTAAGAAGAAGGTGTCTGGAAGCAGACTTGGTTCAATCCTGAGATCATGCCTTGCTCCTCTGTGTGACCTCTCTGACCTTCCCCAGCCTCAGTTTCCCCATTTCTACAATGAAGATAATATCTTACAGAGCTGTTATGAGAGTAATCTTTTCAAATGTTGCATGTTTTGAATATTTCCTTGATGCTGGGTTCTGTTCTAAGCCCTTAAAACATAGGGCATAATTTGTTTAATCTTTCTAGTATGCTATCTATTTGTGGTTTAGGGAACTGTAAGCCACAGAGTTCATAAGTGTGGAGCCAGGATTTAAACCCAGGCAGCTTCATTCCAGAGCCGAGCTCTTAACCACTGCCTCCCAGTGAAAGGAAGTATTGTGTGAAGAGCGCTTAGCAGAGTCAGCATGTTAGCTGTGCTTATCATCCCTGTCATTCTCAGCATCATTATTAATACATTGTTCTCTTTTCTCTCTCCCCTGCTCTCTCTTTTTCCTCCCTCCCAGCAGATGTCTTCCAGCAAGGTAAGCACACTGCCCCCTGCCTGCTTTTCCATTGGCTGTATTCTTTGGAGCTCATGATCATGGGCCTTTGAGACTCTGTGAGCCTTCAGAGGGCCCCATGAAGACAGAGGCCCAAGGTGCCATCAGCCTCACTGGGTCTCTTCTGTCCAGCCTCTGTTTTCTTCCTCTCGATTGTGTTTGGAGCTTGGATGGGCATTGGACATCGGGGAGTGGCCATGACTGAGACCCTTTCATCGGGCAGGGATGCGGTGGGATTTGTGAGCCTGGTGGGGAGCAGGTGAGAGGTGGAGTATTAGGTGGAAGCCCTTGACCCTCAGGGCTCCTGTATCAGGGTCAGCTGCTGCTACTTGGTCACAGCGTCATGGAGCAGCTCCATGTAGGGGGTCTCTTTGCCAAGCAAACACATTGCTGTCTTGGAGGTATGGGTAAGATCATGGCCTCTCTCTTTCAACCCAAGTATCTCTCGCACACTCCTCCCCAGTAGCTGGATCTGCCACTGAGACAGGGCCAGGCGAGCGTGTGTGATGTCATCCCTGTTTTACCAGCCCAGGTCATGTTTCCCCAGTTGCTGGAGATGGAAAGGCTAATCCCAGACCGCATCTTTGGCACGAGTTCTAGTCCCTGTTTGGCATGCACAACCACTGTGCTCCTGGCTGCTCGCGGGCATGGCCTGGCTGAACTTGCTGGATGCCCCTTCGGCGGGAGCAGCCACACTGTTTTGCTCCCTTTGTTTTAATCATAGTCTGAAACTCACCAGGTAGAGGGGGTAGGGCAAAACCGTTTGAATTCAAGCTGGGAAGTAGGTTTGTGGCACACATCTGCTGCATCGTTCTTGAATCCAAGCCTGGCTTAGAATAAAAGAGACTGGTTTAAAAATACATCCAGGCATCCCATAAATAGCCTCCAAATAATCTTACAGGCGCGATATGTTCACAGTGATTATTTCACCCCAAAAGTGGAGTGCACGTTACAGAAAATGTCTGCTCTCTGAAGGAGCGCACTTCTGAGTAACAAAGAAGGGACTGTTGTGTTGTCTTTTAAGAGTCTGGAGTCATAGACCTACTTTTATAAATAATTCATAAGTCCCAACAAGCTATAAGTAATAAGTTCCATTTGGCTAGAGACTAAGAGATGAGCAAAATTGAAGAGGTGCCGTGATCGTTCGTGTAATAAAAGTGCTGCTGTCAAGGCCCCTTGCTGCTGAGGCTTCTTCCTTGACAAATTGGGGGTTCAATGGGCTGCTCTGGGATGAGAACAGTGTTTCAGTTCTTTGATCTAGAATGCAAGCACCTTCTAATGCATTCCTCTTTTTGAGACACAAATGCTTGAGTTTGGAAAGTCTTTCTGGAGTCTGCGATCTGAGGTCCCTGGAACAGCAGGAGAGAAAAGGCTTGTATCCGATCTGGCTTTTCTTTGCACCAGCCAGAGTGTGCCTGGTTGTTGTAGTCGATATAAAAATGGCTTATCAGACTGCCTATGTCAAGTTTGCCTCCTTTTTTAATCAGTCATGCCATTCGATGGATGGGATTTGCCTGTCAGTAGCAATGATATGCAGAGCAAAAGTTATAATCATCTGCAAATCACTGGCTATCGAGATTTAATAGCATCTTCCAGAGACGGAAGCTGCAAGCTACCCAGTGCCCTGCGTGATGGTGGGCGGCAGCTCCTTTATAAGATATTACTAGGATTGCAAATGGAGAGAACTGAACTTGTTTTTGTGAATTATTTACAGGGCTATGGCCAGCTAGGACCATTTCATACAGAGAGACTAGCTCTGGAATAATGGCAAAGAACTCACCAGCTGGACCCCCTCCTTCCCTTTGCTTCTGGCTATTCTGCCCGTGAAATTAATGCTCAGCAAAATGTTCAGTGGTGATGGTCACATCAGACCTAGATGACAGGTTCTGTGTGTCCCAAATAGAACCTAAGGCATGACTTCACCAGATCTTCCGTGGTTGAAACTCCATCCCTGAATTGTGTCATTAACTTGACACCCGGGACCGTGGACTGTGCTGGCAGGAAACCATGAGTAAAGCTTGTGGCTTCAGATGGTGGACGGCACTGGTTCACTCTGGGGCCATTCTGGGTGGCTTTGGCCTTTTGACCATGCCAAGGGCATCCAGGCCCTGCTGGCTTTGGTTTGGCTGAGGAGTCGAGTGCCATTAGGGAGATGCCACTTCGCAAATGTTTGCCCCTGCCTGGAAGAGAATGGACCTCTGTGCCTGGAGGAGGACCCTGGTGCTCGGGCTGCTGTGCAGTGCAGTGGGCAGAAAAGGGAACGGGTTTGCCAAGCTGGCAGCATCACACTTTCTCAGAGGAAACCCAGGTTGTGTCCTCGGGGTGGAGTTATCTTTATTTCACTCCAGATCAGTCTTGATACAGCAGGTGACAGCGCAGTGGCCACAACCATGCCATCCCTTCTGTATCCATATGTGTGCACTTGGGGGTGTTTCTACCTTGCTCCCATGCCATTTTATAGCTTTTTTGGGTTCTTTCATCTGTGAATGTCGCCTACTGTGGTGCTCACACCCCAGAGCATGAGGCATGCCAGGGCCCAGAGGGCCCACAACTGGGCTCTCTGTGGTGGGAGGACCAGGGCCTCCAGGCCACATGTTCAGAGAGCCTTTAGGACCCCTGCTCCCCACTGCCTGCGGAGCTCATGTGTCACTGCACGTCACTCAGAAATTCCAGAGTGTCACAGAATTGCTTTTCACGTCAAATGCACTAGGAAATGCTGCGTGTCTGCCGTGTTTAGAATCTTGAGATTTTGAGCACTTTTCTTCCCGCGGTTTAATAATGGAGTCAGGACCACGCACACACACATGCACGCACGCACATGCACATCTCAGTGGGAGTTACTGAAGCACCTTTGATTGCTCATCCATTGGCTCCACCTTGATTCTGAAATCAAACAAATTAAGAGGGCGGCTGGGAATCCGCTCTGAGTTCACCGCGGGTGTTTGAAAGCCTAAGGGGGCACAGTCTGGAGTCCACTGGGGAGTTAGTTCTCTGCTGCATGCTGTGAACTGGAGCCCTCACTCAGCAGCTTTCCCTCCTCCTCGCTTCTCACCTGAACTCTTGCTGTTACAGCTTTTTCTTCCAGCAATTTTGATCCCTCTCAGACATGGGGCCCTTGCTGTTTTGTAGTTGGGCACTGTCGAGGCCCCTTTTCTCACGGAACTCACAGTCTAGTTTGGGGAACACCAGCTGCCAAGTCTGCACATCAATGACTAAGGCAAATCCCGGGAGGGACCGTGCAGTGGACTTAGCATAGGTGGAGGTGCTGCTGGCTGGGACGGCCACCTAGGATGGGGTGACTGGAGAGTGACAGGAAGGACAGCTTCTCGGAGCATCTGGGGGAACACAGAGGGCACTTGCAAGGGAGAAGCCCATGAGGCCAGAACATGCCATCCTTCTAGAATCAGAAGCTGCTGGTGTGGCTGGAGGCCAAGAGCAAAGGAGAGTTGTGTGAAATGAGCAAGGAGAGGAGGGCAGGATGTCTGCAGTGGTTTTCAGTAGAAGATGGATATGGTCTTAGTTCAAATTTGCCACACTGGTTGCTATGACATGCACTAGGGCAGTGTGTGGGACATTCAACCCAGTGCCAAGCTGGGCGTGGAGCAGACACAGGCTGGCCTGAGATAGGGCCCAGCCCGCAGGCCCTTCGAGCTGACCTCATGGGTCTCTGCCCCATTCCCCGAGAACTCCCCTCGCCCAAGGGAGTAGGGAGCCTCCGTAGGGATTCCTGAGCCTGTGGCTTGTGACCCCTCTCCTTAAGGCTGGCAAATTAGGCTTCTAAAGGTCATTATCAAAATATTCCTATCTGTATCTTAAGGTTAAAAAGCTACTTTTCTCTGACATATATACAAGTGTATCATGTGTTACTGGGGCCTCCCTGGTGGCGCAGGGGTTAAAGTCTCAGCACTATCAAGTTATCGCCAGTTACTGCAGCATAAGTTCAATTCCTGGCCAGGGAGCTGTCCCACATGATGCAGCAGACTTCTCCTGTCTAGCCCGCTGCTCTCCTCAGCAGTGTATTTCAGTAGATTGACCTGTTCTGCTCCCCCGTCTGTCTCTGGTGAATCTTCTCACTCCTTGCACCTCTGGCCTACACCCCAGTTCTTGTATGCATAAATAAATAAAACATAAATCTTTAAAAAATAATAATATACAACAAGCACAAACTAAATAAATATGCTATTTATATATAAATAGATGATGATACATCCTACATGTGTATGGTCAGAAGACCTCCCTTTGGTTCCCAGCAGGCTTACTGCCTTTGTGGAGGAGCTGGGACTGAGTTGCTTTGCTCTGTAGCCTCAGTTTTTCCATCTGTAAAATGAGAGAGCTAGGAAGATCCCTCACCCAACTCAACTTCCTGCTGATTCTTTATCCTGAGAAATTATGAGTGGATTTGAGTCTATAGCCTACAGAAATATCCCATGCTACAGATTCCCACTATTGTCTAGAGAACTTGGGTGAAATGGAGGCTTCCTGAGCATTTCTGTTAAATGAATTGTGGTTGGAACCTGCTCGTGGGGCCATTTTGAAACATCAGCTCTTCACCACACGGATTAATACTGGAATTCACATGGACGGCTTTGCTTTAACTAATTTGAAGAGAACGATAAATCATACTTTGGTTTCTAGCAGCTCAGCCAAGCCTACTAATTGTTGGGGTGGGCTTGTGGTGACAGGGACCGCTGCCATTTATAATGTGCTTGACTTGAGCATTTCTGCGTTTTTCACACTTATTGGTCCAACTGCTGGGGCTGGATCTCAGGTTTTCCCAACCACTCCAGAAGACCATCTATTATCCAGCTCTGATCTTTTAGCCATGAATTATGGTCCCCAGGATAATGCTGTATGATGAAGTATTGTTTTCTTTATGAGTGTAGGGTTTGGGTGAATAAATTAAATCTGTTGTTATCATTTCCATGTAAAACTTGCAAGTTGCCATATGGTTACTTGGTAAGTGAGAAAAAATGCATTAAATT